CCCCCACCCCCGGCCCCCATGAGCCTCGGTTTTCTGGGTGCAAAATGAAGAGATCAGATCCAAAGATGGCCGGACGCCCACTGACCCCTCTGTTCCCTAGCTCTCCCCGCGTCTGTGTCCATCCATGTCACCTCATCCAGCACCCCTTCTCAGGACAGGTCACCCTGCAACCTGACATTTCACAATGCGAAAACAGAGCCCCGGAGAGGGGACCGGACTTGACCACACAGGGCATGAACGGCAGGGCTGGGACCACACTGGAAGCTTGTCACTCTGGAGCAGAGGGGCCGTGTCCATCCCCAGAGGCCCCCTCCCACCACCTGGGATAGCGCTCCACCCTCTGCCCTCTAGGTTGCTGTCACGTAAGCGTCACTATGGTGGTTCCTGTGGTCTTCCTCCTCTGGTGCCTGAGCTGTGCCAAGGGGGCCCGTCCTCTGTCTCACCGCGGCCCCCACCCCAGGCACACCTGTCGGAGCCAGCACAAAGGGGGATGGTTCCCGAGCAGCTGCTGGTGTCAGACAGGCAGGTGATTAGATTACAGGTGTGGGGCCAGGAGCATCCTTTGTGCCATCGCCCCGTGCCTGCCACCCTGGGCCTGCCACTGCCCCTCTGTCTTGGTGCCCTGGGTGTCTGCCTGGTATCCTGGCCCGGGGCCTCTGGGCCAACCCGGCACCTGGGAGATGCTTCTCACCGCCCCGGCCCTCCCCGCTCCCCCTGCCTACCTGGGGGGCAGGAGAGGTCTCCTGGCCCACAGCTGCTCTGGTTGCCCTGGAGGCTTCAGCCAGCTGGGACAGGGGGAAGGGGCTGCAGAGGCCCCCGTCCTCTGCGTGGGATAGAGCCCCCAGCCGCTGCCTGTCACGTGGCTCAGCATGTGACAGCCCTGCCCTGCTGTCTGGAGCTGAGCCAGGCAAAGGCAGTGGCAGAGCCGGCACCAGGCGGGGCTGGGCTGGGGCTGAGCCTGACAGCCCTTACTCAGGAACCAGGCCCAGAGAGGGGCAGCCACTGGTCTAAGGCTACACAGCAAATTGGGGGCCCAGCTGGGGAGGCACTGGTGGGTGAGATGGGTGTTGCAGGATCCTGAAGGGACCCCTCCTGGCCAAGGATCGCCTTGCAGGGACCACCAGTGAACTTGTCATGAGTTCGGGAACAGCCCGGGACATCTCCAAAGAGGCCTGGCCTGCTGGCACAGGGGTCCTAACCTGGCCTGGCAGTGAAGCTCCCCCGGTTTGAGGGGGCATTGCCTCTTGGGGAGGAATACGTACCCTCCCCTCTCTCTGGTTTGGAGGCCTCTATTGATCCTCGAAGGTCCAGGGGCTCCGTGCGTTCTGGACGTTATGTCCCTGCTGTGAGAGCTCAAGATAAATGGGGAGAGGTCTGTGTGGGGTCCCACCAGGACACACCCTTAGAACCAGCTCTGATGGGTGACAGGCTCTGCCAAGGACCCAGGTCGGCCAGGTGGGGTTGCACATTGGGGGAGCACAGAGGTCGGAAGAAGGAACACAGAGGCCTCGCTCCCCCACATTTGCCTCAGCCCTGCATGCTGGCAAGTCCTCTGGGTTTCAGTTTGGAGGCTGGGATGAAATGACCTTCATTATGGTCACCTTTGGCCTCCTTCTCCAGGGTAGAGAGGTGGGGGAGGGTGGGCTGGTCTTGGGTTATGGCATCAGGCAGACTCATTAATTCACTCATTCGTTCACTTCCTCCCTCCCTCAGCTCCCTCAGACACCTAGTGAGCCTGGCTCACGGGGCCTCAGACCTGCCCAGGCGCATCTCACCACCTTGCCTGCTGACAGAGACTCAAAGCAGGCTCCCCTGCCCACCTGCTAAGCGGCCTTGAGCAGGTCGTGGCCCCTCTCACGGTCTTCTTCGCTTCCCACCTTGTGGAGCGGGGCTGACTCTGCCTGCCTCACAGGCTGCCCCAAAGGAGAAATAGGAGTGCATCTGGAAACATCGAGTATACAGTAGGTGCTCAGTAGGCATGGATGCCTTTCTGCCCCTTTCCCGCCCTCCTGAGGGACTGGCCACCCTGGCCTTGTCCCCGAGACCCTGCCCCCACCTTCCTTCCTTGTCTCTTGCCTTAGGGCGAGCCCACCCTGGCTCCTCCCCCCCACCCCCCAGCCCCCCCTCAGAGACCAGCAGGACCCATCCCACGGTGTGCTAAGTAAGCACCGTGCCAGGCGCTCGACGCAAATCCTCATGGAGTCTCGGACACTGTGGTCCTAGCTTGCGGGAGAGACAGCAAGCTCGGAAACGTGCAGTGACCGGGGCAGGAACACACAGGAAGAGTGACAGAGGGGGACTCTAGCCCAGCAAGGCCCACAGCATTTCCAGGGTGCCCTGAGCCCTTGCTTAGGAGTGCACAGGGTCACCCTCACTCCCGGGAGCCTCATCTCTCAGCTGAAAGCAGCAGGCTCTGTTTCTTGGGCATTTGCTCTGCCAGGCACTGGCCTGGTTCTTGGCACATCTCTGCTTGGGGATCTCCCAACAGCCTGTGGTGATTGTCATCCCCAAGGCTTTTAGTTTAAAAAAAAAATGGCGAAGAGTCAACTCCATGCCAGGAGGTTGGCGTCAGGTGAATGAGGAGTGGCGGAGTCATTCCAGTGCGGAGTCTGCTTGGGATTCTCTCTCCCTCTGTCCTTCCTGCTTGTGCTCTTTCTCTCTCTCATATAAATAAATCTTTAAAAAGTAATAAAATTAAATTAAAAGTCACCAACAGACCACAGAAGGAGTCCATGTGTAACAAGGACTTTTTTTTTTCTAGAGAGAGAGTGCGTGTGTGAGCAAAAGTAGAGGGAGTAGGGAGTGGGAAGGGGGGCAGGGGCAGAAGGAGAGAATCTCAAGCTGACTCCACACCCGGCTCGGAGCCCCATGTGGGGTTCAATCTCATGACTCTGAGATCATGACCTGAGCCGAAATCAACAGTCAGACTTTTTTTTTTTTTTTAAGATTTTATTTATTTATTTGAGAGAGAATGAGAGAGAGAGAGAGCATGAGGCAGGGAGGGTCAGAGGGAGAAGCATGCTCCCCGCTGAGCAGGGAGCCCGATGCGGGACTCGATCCCGGGACTCCAGGATCATGACCTGAGCCGAAGGCAGTCGCCCAACCAACTGAGCCACCCAGGGGCCCAAGAGTCAGACTCTTAACTGACTCAGCCACCCAGGCACCCTGACAAGGACTTTATTTAGTTATTTATTTATTTTAAAGGTTTTTATTTATTTGACAGAGAGCGAGAGAGAGAGAGAGAGAGCACACGCAGGGGGAGGGTCAGAGGGCAGAGGGAAAAGCAGACTCCTCTCTGAGCAGGGAGCCCGATGCGGGGCTCCACCCCAGGACTGTGGGATCCCGACCTGAGCTGAAGGCAGATGCCCAACCAATTGAACCACCCAGGCGCCCCCTGACAAGGACTTTACTTAAACAATTCTGGGACCTTAACTGTGCAGGAACCTCTTTCATAGGCCCGAACTGGGACCCAGAGGAAGCCTGCACCCTCATGGAAGTCAGCACCTACCTACAGAGTGGCCGGGCAAGAACACGTGTCACACTGGGGGAGGTTCTGGGACACATGGGTGCTGGTATTTTCCTTATGGAGGGCAGTCCACGGTCTCCCTGGAACAACATGTCTGCTCTCCTGCCACCTTCTCTTTGCTTTCGGGTTGTTTCTTCAAACACACTGCTTGATTTCCTCTTGGGGACCTTCTGGTGGGAGACGGAAAAAATCAGTGACTTCTGAGTCGGCCTGAGACGTTGGCTGTTCAGCAAGCCTTGTCCCCTCTTCCCCGGAGCAGAGAAGTCCACTTTAGGGACCTTTCCCCTCGGACCACACACACCCACTCAGGGCGTGGAAATGCCCCACACAGTCTGTGAGCTTCTCTCCCTGCCTCGCGGGCCCATAACGGACGGTTGGCTCTTGGACCACAGCGTAAAGACGCTACATCTCAGAGCTTCCTGGTCCTTTCAGAAGTCACCCACCTTCCCCTCTCTCCATTCGTAAGACTTTTGTGGGCCTGCCCTCTTCCTGATGTAGGGACAACTAAACCCCTCCCGTCCTGTCTCTCTCCATAAGAGCCATCTGGCCTGGGACACCTCCTCTCTCGACCCTTAAGGTGTGCTCTGGTGTCCGGGATGCTTCTGTTCCTCTGGCCCCCCGCCACCCTGTTTTTAGCCAGTGGAAGTCCTTTTCCGCTTACTCCTGTTTGGTAGGTGCGGGGGGGCTCTGTGCAAGGTGAGGTGCTGGGGTTTCCCACACTGATGCCAGAGAAGACCGGATACCCAGCTGGGGGGATGCCCTGGGGATGCTGCTCCAGGGAGAGAGGGCCCTTCACCAACCTCTTCCTCCCTGGCTTGTTCTGGGTTCTTGGTCACTGGGGTTGGAGGAGACATGGCTGCCGGCCCAGGGCACTTGGTCATTTCTTTCCTTAGCGCTCTCAAGAAAAAAAGGGTTTTATAGACCACAGATGCTGGTGTCCACCCAGGCCCAAGATGGTTTTAGAAGGGGCAAGGGCTCATTCTTGGCATCCTCCTCACTCTCCTGCAGAGGCTCCGGACCCTCTGCCTCCTAATCCCTGCTCCACTGAGCTCACTCCCTGAGGCCACACCACCCACCTCAGGCAGCCACGTCTCCTGCTCAGCTACTAAATTCTACAGGACTGTATCCTCCTGGGGGCATCACAGGCCCCCACCCCAACCTGCCCCATGACCTCCTGCACCTCCTCATCCCTTCCCACCCCCTGCGCCACTGCCACACCCGGGCCTTGGTCATCCCCCAAGGTAATGAACCTCAGTTTTTTGACCACAGCCTCCTGGCCTGCTAGCCTTCCAGCGCCCACTGCATCCCCGCTGTCCTGTCTCTTCCTGCCCCTAGAGCTCGGGCCCACCCTCCCTCCCGCAGCTTTTGTAGCTTCTGCTCCTGGGCACCTCGGGCCCGACTCCGCCTGTCTGCTCACCCCACATCTGCACCTGGGTGGTCTGGAGAAAACTGCAGCCCGAAGCCTGGGCAGACTCATGCCCTCCACACCCCCAGCTCCCTGCCTTCCCAGCAACCCTTCTGAGATGGATATTTGTCACCCATTCACTCACCCATCCACTCACATTTATTGAGCACCTACTAAGTGCTGGCACGATCTGCTGCATGAAGGGAACGTGGTGAGCATTTGCCAGGGGTGGGGTGGGATAGGGTGGGGGAAGAGACCATTGAATCACAGAAAACCAGGAGGGAAAGAGTCAGAGGTGGGGCCTGTACCCCTCATCGGGTGGCTTCTTATCCTGAGAGCTGAGGGTGGGAAGGACAGTCCCTGGCAGGAGCAGCATGGGCAAAGTGGGGCGAGGGAGGGAAACTGGACATTTTTTTAAATTGAGATATAATTGACATATAATATTGTATAAGTTTCAGGTGTACAACATACTGATTTGACACATTTCTGTTGCAACGTGATTGCCAAGTAGTGCTCGCTAACACCTCTGTCCCATGGCAGGGTTATCGTCTCCTCTAGCCGGGGGAATAACGGAGACCTAGGCTCTTAGCAGACTTGCTGTTTATCATACAGTTTGGTTGTCTGTAATCCCTGCACCGTGTCTTCCATCTCTAGGACTCATTTATCTTCCCGTTGCTGGTATGTACCCTTGAACAACGCCTCTCCCATGCCCCCACCCCTGGGCCTGGTGGCCAGCATTCCACTCTGGCTTTTGGAGTCAGTTTTGATGCCACTTTTAGATTCCACCTAGAAGACGCATCATCCATGCTTGTGTTTCTCCACCTGACACGTTTCCCTTAGCATAATATCTTTGGAGGTCCATCCGTGTTGTTGCAAATGGCAGAATTTCCTCTTTTTCCTTATAGCTGAAAGGTAGGTCATTGTATATATGTACACCACATTTCCTTTATCCATCCACCCATGGATGGACACTTAGGTTGTTTGCGTATCTTGGCAATTGTAAATAATACTGCAGTGGGGACACCTGGGTGCCTCAGTTGGTTGAGCGTCTGACTCTTGATTTTGGCTCAGGTTGTGATCCCAGGGTTGTGGGATTGAGCTTCATGTGGGCTCCGCGCTCAGCGGGAAGTCGGCTTGGGATTCTCTCCCTCTCCCCCTCTGCCCCACCCCCCCTAAAATAAATAAATATATAACACCTTTAAAAAATAATACTGCAGTAACATGGGAGTGCAGATATATTTTTGATAACCCGTTTTCATTTCCTTTGGATATAAGGGATTGCTAGATCATACGGTAGTTCTATTGTGAGCTTTCGGAGGAACTCCAGACCATTCTCCAAAATGGCTGGACCAGTTTACCATTCTACCAACAGTGCACAAGAGTCCCTTTTTCTCTACATCCTCACCAACACTTGTTATTCCTCGTCTTCTTGATTGATAGCCATTTTTACAGGTGTGGTTTTGATTTGTTTTTCTCTGATTAGTGGCACCCTTTCATGGATCTGTTGGCCATTGGGATGTCTTCTTTGGGAAAAAAAATGTCTAATTCTTCTGCCCATTTTAAAATCAGAGTGTTTGGTTTTTTTGCTGTTGAGTTGTATGAATTCTTTATAAATTTTGGAACCCCTTACCTGATATGTAGTTTACAAATATTCTCTCCCATTCTGTAGATTGCCTTTTTTTTTTTAATTTTTATTTATTTATTTGACAGAGAGAGACACAGCGAGAGAGAGAGCGAGCACAAGTAGGGGGAGTAGGAGAGGGAGAAGCAGGCTCCCCGCTGAGCAGGGAGCCCGATGTGGGGCTTGATCCCTGGACCCTGAGACCATGACCTGAGCTGAAGGCAGACGCTTAACGACTGAGCCACCCAGGCGCCCCTGTAGATTGCCTTTTATTTTAACGGTTTCTTTTGCAGTGCAGAAGCTTTTAAGTTTGATGTAGTTCCACCTGTTGATTTTTTTTTCTTGTGTTCATGCTTTTGGTGTTATATCCGAAGACTCGGTTTCCAAGACCAATGCCAAGGAGCTTCTCCCCTGTTTTCTTCTAGGAGTTTTATGGATTCAGGTCTTATGTTTAAGCCTTTGATCCATTTCAAATTAAATTTTGTGAGGGTATAAATGGGGGGTCCAATTTCATTTTTCTGCGTGTGGTTATTCAGGTTTCCCAACACCATTTGTTGAAGAGTCTGACCTGGGAACTGTATATTTTTAAAAGCATCCGCAGTGTTTCCAACCAGGGTGATAGCCAATGCTGGGGAGCCTCAGCTCCTGCAAGGCAAGAACTTCGTGGACTCGCTGCAGCCCAGACCCAGCGGGGAGGCTCTGGACCCGGAGGTCGGAGGTCGACCCACTGGAGTCCTCAGCCTCCCACCGCCCCTGCCAGAACTCCCACCTGTAGATGCCAAACTGAAACTGGAGGGCGCGCGGGCGGTGGGCACGGGCTGTCAAGTCCCGTGCCGTGGGAGCCCGCGGTGGGGCTACTATGGGGGCTCTTTGCTGACCTGCAAACACGCCGCATGGGGCTGGAGGTGGGGCCAGGGATGACAGTGGTGGCACTGCGGGGACCCTATTATGGGCCTGGCCCTTGTCTAAGGCTCTGCATTCATTTAGTAACCCGGCACCAGCCCTGGGAAGCAGTGCTGAGTGAGAAAACTGAGGCACAGAGAGGTGGAGTGAATTCCCAAAGTCGCAAAGCCAGGAAGCGGCTGCGTGAAGATTCGAACTCACGTCTCCGGTCCCTGAGGCCGGGTCCGGGCGGCACCGGGCCACGCGGCCACGCCCCCCACCCCCGCGCGCGCCCGG